TGTGGGTAGGTAGAATACTCAGCTCCAGCCATCGGACGAGGTTTGCAATAGGTGGTAATTTCTGCTTGGACGGCTGTCCAGTGTTACAGCCTCCCGGGAAGCCTCATCTGTTAAATCCCTGGCTTCCTCCAGATCCACTTCAGTTGTTATGGTTAAGGGCATAGTCTTTGGAACCAGACTGGAGTGTGGCCTCGAGCAGATTACCAGAAGTCCCTCTGCCTCATTTAAGACAGGGTTTTATGGGACCAGCAGGTGGTGTGGTTAAGGCACTGGACTTCCCCATGGAGTTCCATGGTGCAAGCCCCAGTCCCAGTGGTTTGAAAATCATGCCAGGCATATGTGTACGTGTGCCCAAAATCCAAGAGGGGGATGGAGAAGGGACTGCAGTCTGGCCGTCCCCCCGGAGGTGATTTCTCACGGTACTCTCTTTGGCAAGTGCATGTGCCCTATGGCAAAAACGTAAAAATAAATAAACTTTTTAAAAATAGGGATTTGCAATGGGCTGGGGACTGAGGAGGGGTGTGCTGGGTGACCAGACCGTACGGAGGATGCTTTTCTCATGCACATACGTGCTCTGGCACAGATAAAGAAAACGTGTATTCCTGAGCCCTAAGACCTGCTGAGTCATTGAGCCCAGAACTAGCTTTAAAACTCGTGGAGGGTTATAAGGGTGCCTACCCGTGGTAGGGACCAGCACCTATAGCTGGTGTTCCTGTCTCCGCAGGGCCACTTATGCTCTCACTGGCACTTTCTGAAAAAATTTCTTTCTTTAATGAGTGAGAGAAAAAGAGAGCACCCCTTGCAGGGTCTTGATGCCACGTCTACCCTGGCTTCAGCCAGTCTGAGGTCACACGCATGTGCCCGCCGTACTCGGGGTGAGCTCCAGACGCGAGCCAGAGCCTTCCTGGTTGGACTCACGGCCTCACCCACTGCACTGCCATCCAGCCCCTCGTAGCTCCTACCTGCCGTGCTTTGTGTTTCTCTGTGTGCCTCTGGTTACCGCCAGTTTCCTCCTGGACCGTATATCTCTGAGTGCAAGACGGGCCCCTTCTGGCTTCGCCCACACAGGGTGACAGTGACAGGAAGGTCGACAACACTCAACAGAAATGTGTTGGGCCCCTGGTTATCAGCCAGCTTTCTAAAATCACAACAGACATGCACAATCTTACATGAAAGTTAGAAGGTTTCAGACAGGTTACTAAAAGACTCAAATAGATAAGTTTCATTTTATCGAGTAGGGTGCTGGGCTCCCACGTGGCCATTCGAGTCCCAGACCTGGTGGCTTGCTTTCTCATTTCCCCCTTCTCTCTCATTCTCCCTCACTCTGGCCCTCTCTGGTCAAATTAAAATAAATAAATAAAGTTAAATAAAATTAAAAAATCGTAAAGAAGTCAGATATTTCCCCATTAATCTATCATTTTAATGCAACCCAACTAAAAATCATAACTGATTATTTTTGTTTGTTTTGGAAGTTTAATAAAATGACCAAAGATGATCTGAAGAAAGAATTTTTTCCTAATAGGATATTTTTGGAAAGAGGAGTGATGACTTTACATTCAAATGTATGCATTTATTGTAAGGCTTCAAGAACTGAGACAGTCGGACGTCGGGTCTAATCAACAGATCACTGGAAGAGAGTAGAAAGTCTAGAAACAACAAAAAAGCATGCTTGTTATAGAAAATGAAAAATGTTGGGACCAGCAGATGGCGTAATGGGCATTGCTCGACTCCCACATAGTTGACTGTGGTTCAAGTCCTGGACCTGGTGGCTTAAACTCACCCCGGGTGTGAGCGTGCCCAAGATCCCAAGAGGAGAATGGAGAAGAAGGGACTGTGGCGTGACCATCCCCCCTGGTGGGTGATTTCTGTCTTTCTGTCTCTCTCTGTCTTTGTGGGGAGCACACACACCCTGTAGCAAAAACCTCTCCAAGTACTTTTTTTGGGGGGGACCAGCAGTTAATGTAATGGCTATGTCGCTGGACTCCCACGTAGTTGACCGCAATTCGCGTCCTGGACCCGGTGGCTTAAAACTCTCTCTGGGCGTGTGTGCGTGCATGCCCAAGATCCTGAGAGGAGAATGGAGGAGAAGGGATTGCTGCGTGGCCATCCCTCGTGGGGGGTGATTTCTCACTTTCTGTCTCTGTCTGTCTGGCAAGCGCACGCGCCCTGTAGCGAAAAAAACTCTCATAAATAAATAAATAAATACCTCTCCAAAAAAATGAAAATGAAAAATCTTTAAATGAAGGTCTAGTCAGGCGTCAGGTGCTGCTAAGATACCGTGTTTCACAGGCTGGGGCGCCGTGAGAGGCCCAGGGTCAGCTCCTGGTCTGACCTACAGGCGAGGGACACGGTGGGCACCTCTTACCCAGCCACAGGGGAGGCCGAGGCAGGATGATGGCGAGCTCGAGGCTGGCCTGGGCATCAGTGAGACCGCTCTAAATGTGAGCCCAGTGTGCTGGCTCATGGCTGTAGTTCCAGCTGAGAGGATCAAAGCACATTGAGACCACAACGTACAAGTACTAAAAATTGTAATAATCCCACTAAGTTTACGTTTAAATAATGTAGAAAAATTTCATGAAAAAACATTTGTATTGTTAAGTTAAAAAGATGTCTACAAAGCATTACCTCTCATTCCGTTGTCAACCTAATAACAGTAGCATGACAGTTTTTAATCTCACGTGTGCCCGGGCCAACAGGTGGCATGGTGGATAAAGTGCTGGTCTCCCTCATGGCCAACCACAGCTCAGGTCCTGGACCCAGCAGCTTGAAAATCATGCCGGGTGTCTGTGCATGTGTGCCCGAAATCTCTGGAGGACCCCTGTGGCATGGCTATCACCTCCTGGGGGAGAGATTGCTCGTTTTCCCTCTGTCTCTCTCTGGCAAATGTACACATGCTATGGCAAAAATCTAATAAAAAATTACGGAATCAGTGGATGTTGTAATGGTTACGTCACTGGACACCTGCGTAGTCGACTACGGTTCAAGTTCCAGGCCTGGCGGCTTAAAACTCCGGCCAGGCATATGTGTGTGTGTGCCCAGGATCCCGGGAGGAGAGTGAAGAAGAGAGATTGCGATGTGGCCGTCCCCCCCGGGTGATTTCTTACTTTGTCTATGTTGCTCTGGTGAGCGCATGTGCCCTATAGCAAAAAAAAAAAAAAAACTTTTAAAAATTACACTAATAGCATTTCCAGAAAGAAGAAAAGGAAAAACAAAACAAAACAAAATCTTCAATGTGCCAGAAACTGTAGCCCGTAAACTACATAATTCCTTAAATCTCATCCCCCACCCCCAGTAGACACTGATCCTGTTTTACCAATGAAACTGAAGGTTCCAGTGGCCCAGAGCTAGGATGTAGTGACAGGCTTGGAATTTAAACCTAGAATTACCACTCTTCTTTACATATGCCAACGTTTTCACAGTGGTTTTCGGTGAATGGTGCTATTCTACATGAATTTTATTCTATGCTAAATGACTTATTTATGTTTTTCCATTTTTTTCTACAATGAACATGAAATTCTACTATAAATTAAAAAACAGTCGGAAAAAAAAAGGTCGGTGCGGAAATTAGAGAATCATGTGTCAGAGCTATTGCAGAAGTTGGATTTAAGTTATTTTAAAGATTTGTACTTTTTTAAGTCTAGAAGCAGGTCCCGTGACTGTTGTGTGTTGTGAAGGTGGCATTCCAGTGTGCGCGGCGTGCCACAGTGGACTAGCCATTGGGAAGACAGATGAGTAGGAGTCCTCACTGCCCTGTGCTGGAGAGGCCCGGGTGACAGGCCAAGTGAGCAGAGCATGAGTTTATGAAGAGCCCCGCTGGCCGGTCAGCCCGGCTGGGCCTGCAGTGTTCAGGCCTGTAGTGTGATGGGAAGGGTGTTGGGGTACTCCGAGTGGAGTGAGGTGGACCTTCTGAAACAAGCGGCAGGGGCAAGTTGTTCCTGTGTGCTGGGACGGAGGGGCAGATCTGAGCAGACAGCAGCGTGGGCGTCCTCTCACGCAGCAGCTGGATTTGCTGGGATTTATCCCAGTTAGGTAAATATGCAGAAATGTAAGTCAGGGATACTCATTAAAACACTTTATATTGGGAAAAAAAAAAAGGGCAGAGATATCCTGAGTAGCCGGTGGTGGGGACTGCAGCCTGCATTTTGTTGCCTTTGTGCTGTCCCGTTCTCTGCCCTGTCTAAACTGCCCGTCCCGCTAACCCTGCTGTGTCTTGTGGAAGTCAGCACCCCAGGTCGGTAAGCGTGCCGCCGCAGGGCCTTCTGCTTCCGATCGCGAAAATGTACCCCATGGGAGTTGAGTAAGCCGTAAGCTCCTCGAAAACACAGATTTGATTTTGGTATTATTTTATAGGCTTTTGTTTCCCTGAGATTGTTCCTTGAACGTAACTTCCTGAATGTATCTTTTCAACAGTGAGATTCACTTAAAGCAAAGCATCCGAAAGCAGACAGTAATTGGGCAGCCTCCGTTCACAGCTGGTGCAGCTGCCCCGGGACCGGATGGGACGTTTCCAGCCTCCCCTGGGACCCCTGCCCGCGGAGCAGCCTCGCCCGCTTCACCCTCTCCCTCCTCGGGCAGCCGCCAGTCCGTTCTCTCTGGGTTGGTCTTTTCTGGACGTGTCCTGCAAGTGGCGTCACATGATCTGTGACCACTATGGGTGTTCTGGGGCCCTCCCTGTGGTGACGTGTGCCAGGACTTCATTCTTTCCTGGTCAGATGGGACACACCCCGGCTCGTGCATCTGCTCACCTGTCAGGCGACAGTTTTGCAGTGCCCGCCGCACTGCGCTCTGTACAGGGCTGTCCGTAGCTGCCTGCGTCCCGGTTTTCAGTTCTCGTGAGGCATGTCTGTGCTGAACTTCGTGAGGAACTGCCATCCTGTTTCCCACAGCAAGGCACAAAGGTTGGCTTCCTGACGTCCTCGCCGGCCCTTGCTATTTTCTGTTGTCTCGGTCACCGCTATCCGAGTGGGAGTGAACCTCGTGCTTCGATTTGCATTGCCCTGATGAGCATTGATGCCGGGAGCCTTTTCCTGTGCGTGGTGACCATTCGTGTATCTTCTTTGGAGAAATGTCTCGTCGAGCCCTTTGCCCATGTCTGCGTTGAGTCCCCTTTTCCTGGTGGAGCTGTAGGAGTCACTTACACGTTCTGGATGCGGGCCCACTAGTGCGTCTGTCTTTACATCGGCGCTCCCTGGCCTTCGTTCTTCCTTTTGTGATTGTTTTAAACCTGTGGTAAATACTCCAGATTAAGGAAGTCCAACCGAAGGGGTCCCCAACTACATTAATTCCTCCTGCGTCGCGAGGGGCCCTTGGAAATAGCGCCGTTTCTGGTCTGTTGCCTGGAAGTAAGCCATAGCTTAACCAGACCGCACTGCACCAAGCAGGAAGAAAAACTGGCGTTGCTGTTTCCAGAATGGTCGTAAAGACAGAGTCATAATGGATGTGTGGGGTACTCGTGCTGTGAAACATTGCACAGCTGCAAAGATAGGAGACCTGATGCCTATTATTATTTTTTAAAATTTTACTGTAGAGTAAATGCACTTGCCAGAGAGAGAGACAGAGAGAGAGAGAGCTAGCAAGAGTGAGCATCTAGAGGGGATGGCAATGCCGCGATCCCTTCTCCATTCTCCTCTCGGGGTTTTGGGGATGCATGAACATGCACTGGTGTATTTCCCAAGCCCCTGGGTCCGGGACCTGAACCGCACAGGCAGCATGTGGGTCTCGCTGCTGTGGGTGCCACTTACCGAGGCGCCACTTGCTGGCCCCTGCTATTTTTACACTTGTTTTTCTTTTCATTTTGTGGATTCTTAAAATCCCAATTTCTAATGAAGCACCTATAAACATAACTTCAAGGTGAGAAGAATAACAAAGACTATTTGCTTTTCAGAGTCATCCTTTTTGAACTTCCACGATTCAGACTGTGAATCCAAAGGGTCGGCACCCTGTGACTCTCTGCTTTCCCTCAACACCGAAAAGATTCTGGTACGTGTCTTCTCACCATGCCTTCTGTGTCTGGAGCCAGCCCGGCTGGACGAATTCACCAGGTGGAGGGCACCTTCGTTTACCATAGCACTAGCACCCTGCTGGCTCTGTTTGGAATGTGGAGGCAGGTCATCAGATATTTGGTCACATTGGAATTATTACAGCTTAGGAGTTGGATAGCCGATCACTGGCCCTAGGACTTTTTTTTTTTTTTTTTTGGAGAGTTTTTGCTATAGGGCGCATCAGAAGGGGAGAGACCAGAGAGACAGAAGGCAAGAATCCCCCCCCCCCCGGTGGGGGGATGGCCACGCCGCAATCCCTTCTCCTCCATTCTCCTCTTGGGATCTTGAGCACGCACGCACACGTGCCTGGCATGAGTTTTAAGCCACCGGGTCTGGGACGCAAACCTCGGTCGACTACGTGGGAGTTCAGCGACATAGCCTTTACACTAACTGCTGGTCCCCAAAGAGATTTTTCTTGGGAGCAGAAGCACTAATGATAAGGGGAAGAAGCAAATGAATTACCCTATAAACTGTTCCTTTTTACTTATTTTTCTCTTCCATGAGAGACAGACAGACAGACACCCTTGACAGAGTCCTTCCACACCACGATCCTCTTCTCAGCCTCCCAGCCACCAGAAGCCCAGGCATGGATGGGGGCACCCTGTGTCTTCTGGTCAACCCAGGACCCGAAGCTGGGCCTCCCTGTGGCTCTGGCGGCACATGGTGCCATCATGGCTGGGCCCACCAAGTGTGCTATTGAAATACATGGTTGATTTGACCTAAAGCAAATATTTTCTGGCTTCCATTTAAGTCAGATATAGATTCGATTTTTTTTTTAAATATAGGTTTTTAAACAAGTTTTATTTGTGATAAACTGAAATGCACATTTGGTTCTTTTTCCTTTTCCAGAGCCAGGCCAAGACTATTGCCGAGCAGAAGAGATTCCCGTTTGCTACTGACAATGACAGTGCAAATGAAGAGCTAGGTAAGACCTGAGTCCAGGGATGCTCCTGTGGATGGGCCTAGCATTTAGGATTCGATGCAGAACAAGGAGGGTGGTGGGGGAGAAAGAACCTGAGACAGGCTCCACCCATTCACACTCTGGCATGCTTGGGGTATTTGCATAGGGCATTTGCAAGGGCATTCAGAGCATTGGGCTCTCCTGAGGTTTCATGATTATAGGCCATTACCAAAAAAAAAAGGTCTGGATGGAGTGCTGTTTCAGCTCTGTGTTTCTATGGAAATTGACAAATACGGTCATGAGCTTTTATGAACTGTCACCATAACTCTAACAGTTATTAATGTGCTGTCGTCCAGCGCGAGCCAGAGTCGAGAGCAGAATAGAATCCCAGAACACCCACTTTAATCTCCTGCGTGATATTAATGGGATAGCCAGGCTGCAGTTTACGTGGGAGGCCGGGCAGGTGTGGTCGGGTTTAAGAAGTGGGCGTGGAAAATGTCGGCCATTGAAACCTGCAGATGATGTGTTCGTGGCACATGTTAAAAGGCTGGGTTAGCCAGTATCCAGGCTGTGCTGGGCGTGCCTCTCGGTACCCTCACGAGCTCGCACTTGAAGGAGACGCAGCACGGTCTCAGGGCTGAGCTGAGCAGCTGGACAAATGTCACCGTGGCCACATTCTCACTTGGTGCCCCGTCGCCCCTGCAAGGATTTAAAATGCTCATTTATACATATCATTTTACCCTAGCATGGCCAGGTACACTTTATGTTAAGGCTCAGTGCTGCTTACCGTGGTTCTTTTGCTCTGTAAGAGATGGCAGCTGAGTGTGGACCATTTTAAAAGTACTGATTATTTTTGGGGGATGTTATTTGAAGAGGCTTCGTAGGGTAATTACCCTTTAAAGTGTCAGATTTGGCCTTTTAAAAAGTTCTGGGATTCTGTTCATCCTCCTATGTATTTCTTAAGCAGTGAGTTAAGGGGCTAGAACATCGTCAGGCCTGGTTTGTTCTCTAAGAACAATTCCGGTAGACCCTAGAGCGGTGTAGACCGCCAGTGGGCTTTAGGCCTGTTGTGCCACAGTGATTTTCCCGGGAAGATGCTATCTGTCAGCGTGAGCATTGCTAGGAGGCGCCGAGTTGCTGGTTAGTGGGGCACAGCGGGGGCCCCAGCTACCCGTTTTCCCTTTATGTCATTGGTTTCCCACCACAGAATTTAGGTCCTAATAGTTATTTATATACGTGCGACATTTGGATTAAGATTATTTATTTTCAGTGGATGTTTTTGGGTATTGCTCATGAAATATTGACTTTTAGTTGGAAAGACTTGAGACCTGCATTTGATTTTATTTCAGTGAAATTCAGTAGCCTAGCTGTGAACAACAATGTAATATGTTTCTAAAGTACAAAATTTATCTCCTAACATCATATTTGTTTTAATGACTAACTCGTTTGTTTATTCAGTAGATATTTACTGATTGTGATAAAATAGGAAATTCTAAGTAGTTAGCTTTTTAAAATTTTTTTTGGAGAGGTTTTTTTCTACAGGGTGCATGCACTCACCAGACAGACAGAGACAGAGAGACAGAAAGCGAGAAATCACCCCCCAGGGGGGGATGGTCACGCCGCAATCCCTTCTCTTTCATTCTCCTCTCGGGATTTTGGGCATGCACGCACACACACCCGACATGAGTTCTAAGCCACCGGGTCTGGGACGCGAACCGGGGTCGACTACATGGGAATCCAGCGACCTAGCCATTACGCTAACTGCTGGTTCCCAGTAGTTAGCTTTGAAAGGAATCTTGTTTATTTCTACCATGAGAAAGAGAGACAGAAAGAGAAACTGAACCCCCCCACAGGGTCGTCACAGCATGTTCCTCCCCCACTCAGCCAGCTGAGACCAGGGACACGTGTGCACATACTTGCCTGACATTCTCTCGGTGACCTTGAGGTGGTGACCTGGGACCTTCCCCGGGGCTGGCATCACTAAGCACTGCATCACTGCCGCCACCATCTGCCTGGAAAGGAATCTCTAAGAAGCTTTCCTAGAGATGTTTAAGACCCAGAGAAGAGCCTGGGGCCCCCACGATCACAGGGCCCGGACCCGAGCCCAGGTCCTGGCTTTCTGGTACATGGTCTTCCTGCATTCATAGACTGCGGCTATGTGTCGTACTTGTTCACCTGATGTTACGAACGTCAGGCCAGGGCCAGCAGGTGGTATGAAGGTATGGCCGACAGCACAGTTTGAGTCCCAGACTTGGCGGCTTGAAAAATCACACTTGGGATTTGAGGCATGCCCACTCATACCTAGTGTGCATGCCTCAAATCCCAAGAGGAGACTTGTAGGAGAAGGGATTGAGGTGTGGCCATCCCCTCTAGGGGGTGATTTCTTATCCCCCCATGCCCCCCTGTGAGCTCATACACCCCATAGCAAAAACTTAAAAATAAAAAGACAAAACAGGGACCAGCAGATGTCGTCATGGTTACATCGCTGAACTCTCACGCAGTCTACCACATTTCAAGTCCTGGACCTGGTGGCTTGAAACTCATGCTGGGTGCATGTGCCTGTGTGCCCAAAATTGCGATAGGAGAATGGAAGAGAAGGGATTGTGGCATGGCCATCCCCCACCCCGGGTGAGGGGGTGGTTGATTTCTTGCTTTCTGTCTCTCTCTGTCTCTCTGGTGAGCACACACACCCTATAGCAAAAATCTCTAAAAAAAGAGAAACAAACAAACACAAAACTTCAGACCATTTTTCAGTCCAGTCCAGCACACAGCCTCGGTTTTTACCAGCACAGGGTTGTTTGGGAGGTCGGCCCGGAGCAAGCAACCTTCATCTCACTCCCTGTTCCTTGTCCTTCTTGAGGGCTGCAGGCTCCATTCCTTGTTCGCAGGATGGGCATACTAACTGCTCCCAGATCATGGCAGTAGGACATGAGTGCCCGTAAGGGCCCAGGGCTGTGTATCTCCTGCGGTTGTTCTTCCCAGGATGACTGCTGTCCTTGCCACCACCCCCAACTTGTCTCCAGTCACCTGGAGGTTCGCTATCTGAATGGCGCCCATTCTTACCATTCCCAACATGAGTTTGACCTTATTTTATTTTTTCAAGGAAGCTAGGGAAAAAACAAACAGCTCAATTTTTATTTACTTATTTATTTCTTAGTTTTTCTTAAGGGCACATGCACTCACTGGATAGAGACAGAGAAGGAAAGTGAGAATCACCTCCACGGGGCTTGGCCACCCTACAAGCCCTTCTCCTCCAATCTCCTCTTGGGAGTTTGGGCATGCACACGCAGGCAGCTGGCATGTTTTTCAAACTGCTGGTCCGGGCCTCAAGCCGTGTTGGCCATGTGGCCATGTTGGAACTGCCAGCCCCAAAACAGCCCACGTTTTATTTGAAAGATGCCCCTAAAAAGCTCTTATATTTTATGATGTTAATTTTTAAATGCATTTTTTCCAGGGTATTTATAAAGGTCTTTTATATTTCTATTGCAGTTTATGTTTTTACTGCTTTTATCCATCAAGAAATACAAATTCTTTTTTAAAAAGTCCATTTATGTACGCATTCTCTGTGAGCATGTGTGAGAGGGAGAGAACATGCACACCCACACCCCAGCAGGTCCCGAACCCCTGAGCTCCCCCTGGCTTTTATCTGGCCTCAGAAGATGGGCCAGTGCATGCCTGGCATACACAGGGAGATTGCAGGACTCGAACTAGCAACCCTCCCGTGTGGGATTGACTCACAGCCCATCCAGGCCCATAAATTTCCTAATGAGAGTAAGTTTTAGCTGCCCATCTTCTTGAACACCTATTAGGTCCTAGAATTAGAGGGTATTACAGTAAAGCTTTCTTGAAAAGAACTGTGATCAAAATAGTCATAATACTGAGTGCAGAACAAAATGTTTTTCAGAAATTTGGGGAGATTGAGAGGGGACAGATATTAAAGATGGAACTGTAATTTAGAATATTCAATTTTATTTCAGAGAGAATTTTGTCAGAATATTACCATACTTTAAAAAATGCTCAAAGTGGGAACAGCAGTTGGCATAATGGCTATGTTGCTGGGTTCCCATGTAGTCGACTGTGGTTCAGGGCCCAGACCCGGTGGCTTAAACTCACGTCAGGCGCATATGGGTGCATGCCCAAGATCTTGAGAGGAGAATGGAAGAGAAGGAATTGCAGTGTGGCCATTTCCCCGGGGACGGTGACTTCTCGTTTTCTGTCTCTCTGTCTTTCTGGCGAGCGCATGCACCCTTTAGCAAAAACCTCTCCAAAAAAAAAATAATAATAAAAAATAATGCTCAAAGCTCTAATTTAAAATACCATTTTTCTAAACAGTTTGACCAAAAACTATATTCCTCTTTAGCACGCGTACACACACACACACACACACACACACACGCGCGCGCGCACACATTTGTTTTTTAGGTTTTTGCCATCGCTCACTGGAGACAGAGAAAGAGAGAGGGAAAGTGAGAAGTCGTCCTCCAGGGGTGATGGTCGTGGCAATCCCTTCTTCTCTGTTCTCCTCCTGGGGTTTTGGGGACACACGCACATGCACCTGGCGTGAGTTTCAAGCTGCTGGGTCTGGTCTCAAACCATAGTCTGCCATGTAGGAGTCCAGTCCCTTAACCATCATGCCACCTGCTGGCCCGTCTGTAGTGTATCTTTTGAGTAGTGCTTTGACTGTTCTTTGAGTGAAGTGGGACAAAGACTGGCTGCCCTGCAGGGTACATGTCTTCCGCAATTACACACCCCCGCACACCCCTTACACCTGTCACCTGTGCCCCTGCTCTTGTGCTTCCTGCGTAGTTGGGGTAAATTCCGCACTCCAGCAGTTGCGGTTGGGATGCTGTTTGAGCACTTCTCATAACACTTGCAGGAAAATGGCATCGCCATGGGCTGTGGATGGCCTTTCAGGCTGTTTACCAGCTCTTTGACATGTAGAGTGGCAGCAGCATGGGGTTATTTGGGATTTCGAAGTGAGTAATGGAGTACTTGTAGGCAGGTCCTCTATAGATGACTTTAATCGTTGAAATCTAGGTTGGGATGCTGTTTGAGCACTTCTCATAACACTTGCAGGAAAATGGCATCGCCATGGGCTGTGGATGGCCTTTCAGGCTGTTTACCAGCTCTTTGACATGTAGAGTGGCAGCAGCATGGGGTTATTTGGGATTTCGAAGTGAGTAATGGAGTACTTGTAGGCAGGTCCTCTATAGATGACTTTAATCGTTGAAATCTAGGTGGGACGGCAAATGGAGTTAGAAAGAGATAAGTACTTCTTGTAGGCAGGTTTTCTATAGATGACTTTAATCGTTGAAATCTAGGTGGGACGGCCAGACTGATTAGCAGGTGCTGAGGGATGGCTGCGGAAGAATTTGGTGGCTTCTCATTAACTTCTAGGGGTTTTTTTTTAGCTCCTTCCAGTCCTCAGTGCCGCCCCATGAGCTGTAGCAAAGCACTTAGTTAGCAGTTCTAGCCCGAGCTCCTTGATTCTGCCCTTTAATGTTTCTGTGTTTGTTTCATAGCTATTGCTTATGTGTTGATCGGCAGTGGTCTCTATGATGAAGCAATAAGGCATTTTTCAACAATGCTTCAGGTAATTTTTCTCGTTACTTATTTTCAAGTGTACGGTCATGACAGCTGTGGACTCTCGCATAACTTAGTGTTGCAGTGAAACACCTATTTTAAGATGATAAAGGAAGGAAGAGAAATCAGAGCTGACTGAGCACTTTCTGGGTGCTGGACATCTGACAGGCTTGCATTTGGTCTTTGCAAAACGACTTTCTTTCTCTTTTTAGAGAGAGATTTTTGCTATAGGGTGCATGTGTTCACTGGAGAGACAGACAGAAAGCAAGAAATCACCCCCCGGGGGATGGCCACATTGCAGTCTTTTCTCTAATCTCCTCTCAGGATCTTGGGCATGCACACATGCACCTGGTGTGAGCACGTGGTGTGATTTAAAAGCCACTGGACAAACCATGGTCGACTTCATGTGAGTCCAGTGCTGTGACCATTATGGCATCTGCTGGTCCTGAACGACTTTATTTTGGAGAGGTTTTTTTTTTTTCCCCGCCATAGGGCATGTGCGTTCGCCAGACAGACAGAGAGAGACATAGAGACAGAAAGCAAGAAATCACCCCCAGGAGGGATGGTCACACTGCAATCCCCTCTCCTCCATTCTCCTCTCGGGATCTTGGGCACGCACGCACACGCACCCGGCATGAGTTTTAAGCCACCGGGTCCGAGACGCAAACCGCGGTCGACTATGTGGGAGTCCAGCGACATAGCCATTACGCTAACTGCTGGTTCCCCTGAACGACTTTATTTTAAATGAGGAAATGGAAATCTCATGAGTCAAGCAATTTGCTCGTAGTCTCCTGACCCTCCAAATAAAAATTCTAAAAAAACAGTAGTGTCAGGTCACTTACCTTTCTACCACGGTATCTCCCGTGATGTGTAGATGCTGGAAATCCTTGGAATTCCAACTCCTTTCCATATAGGAGTTGGTCCGCATGATTAACTTAATTTCCACCAAGGATTTGTTTCTCTCCTTAAGAAGTGTTACTATGAGAGTCCTTAGTGGAAGTATCGGGCCTTTACTGGTTGGTGGCTATGTTAAAGTCTAGATAAAATATGCAGATATCCATGTGTGGGTGGAAGAAGAGACTCATGGCACCCAACATCATTGGCCTATGTCTTGTGCCGTTATCAAACTGAATTCCCCAGAGGTGCTTAAGCATTTAGGAGTTGTTGACGTGTCTGTCCACACAAAGGGGTATAGTGATGAAGATGGGAATTTTCAAGTTGGCGATAGCCAGTTTCTAATCACTCTGCTGCTTGCTACCACATTGTTTAACCTCTTGGGTTATGGAGATGATAGTAACTACTTCCAAAAACGTTTCTTTTCAGTTTGAATGAAATGTCTTATGACGTGTGCAGTAGCCATTGCCTGTCACACAGTAAGTGCTCAGTAAATTCTAGGCTCATACTACCATTCTAGTATATGTGTGTTAAACTGAGAATTAACAGATCATCTGTAATCCTATAGGTAGACTTAATTTTGAAACATTCATTTGCAAATTTTAGCTGTGCCTTTGTTTTACCTTTTTAATAATAGGATCACTTACATTGATAATTCTGTCTTCGTTCTCAAAAAATGTGTTGAGATATTTTAGTTGTTTGTGGTCCTCAGGTCTGAGCAGCTGTGTGTTTAGGTTGTCTATAAGATAACATTCTTCAGTAGAATTTAAAATACAAAGAGTAGATTCTAAATGATTTAAAATCTCCTTTCTGTTTGGTGTCACAATATTATAAAAGGTAAGTAAGCACTTTTGCAAAGTTAACACCTGACCATGGTCTAAAAGGGAGTTTCTAATGAATTTGTAGAAGCCAGTATTGGTTAATTGGTGGTGACGAACAGCAGAAAACAGTAGGGACTTGCAGCTGTGCTACCATTCCATTCCACCTTTGAAAATATTATTACCATTATAGTTGAAGGCAATATAAAGTTATTAAAGAAAAATTTATATAATAAGAAACTTCCTAATTCTACTACTCTAACATTATTCTTAATTTTTATTACCTTTTAAAAGTATGCATTGGTGTTTCATTTAATCTGAATATATGTACCATTTTGTATTGCTTTTTCACTTAATTTTATACTGGCTTTCAATATTTCTCTAAAATCTTATGAGTTAATGGCTCTATAATATGCCTTAGTGTCGGTTCGTTTATAGTTGTAAAACTTTACTCTTGCAATTGCATTCAGAGAATAAGTCAGAATCCTACTGTTTGTACAAAGAAAAGAAAGTGATCCAAGGGGGAATCTTTTAAAAGTTTATGAAAAATGTGTATTATGAGAAACTGTGGCTGGATCTCAAAATTTTTTGCAGCAAAATAAACTTGTACTTAAATCCCCTTTTTACGAACTTGTGGAAGCCCCCTGCCCACTGAGATGTCCCACTGCATTTTCATCGACCTGTGATGGGAAGAGTTGTTTGTCGGGGAGGGTTTTTCTGAGAATGTGTGGGTGGTACGGTCGGCCTGCTTTTTCATGATTCCGGCTATTGGTGGGACAGGATGGGGCTGTGGGAGAAAGAGCTTGTGGTCGTGTGTAACAGTTTACACGCCAGCGAGCGTGCCTTTAGCTCCTCTGCTGCGGCTGTTCTGGGACTCCCCTGTGGTTGCCTTTTTTTTTTTTTTTTTTTTTTAGGGTGCGTGCACTCACCAGAAAGACAGAGAGAGACAGAGAGACAGAAGGCGAGAAATCACCCCCGGATGGCCACGCTGCAATCTCTTCTCCTCCATTCTCCTCTTGGGATCTTTGGCATGCACCCACAGGTGCCTGGCGTGAGTTTAAGCCACCGAGTCCGGGACTTGAACCATGGTCAACTACATGGGAGTCCAGCGACCTTGCCATTATGCTAACTGCTGGTCCCTGTCCTTACCTTTCATGTGTTTCCCAGCTGGATCCACGCTGTGGCATGCCAGGGAACAGGACAGGTTCCAAGGCATCCAGATAGAGCTTTGTCAAAATTTATCATCTTTTTTCAGATATATAATTATGATAAACAAATGCAAAGATTTGGTATTAAATGCTAAGGTTGTTTTCAAAAATTTAAACAAGAAAGTTGATCCTGCTTTTCTTGACAAAGCTTTTTTATGCTGGGTTTTATGTTTGAAATTGATATGCCCAGTTTCTGTTTAAGAGTTTCCTGTTGATTTCTCCAAATTCTTCTTTGAAATTTTTTTGCTGTAGGGCGTATGTGCTCGCCAGAAAGACAGAGGGACAGAAAGCGAGAAATCACTCCCCAGGGGGATGGCCACGCCACAATTCCTTCTCCATTCTCTTCTTGGGATTTTGGGCATGCACGCACATGCACCTGGCGTGAGTTTCAAGTTTCCGGGTCCGGGACTCAAACTGAGGTTGACCATATGGGAGTTCAGTAGTGTAAGCATTACTCCATCTGCTGGTCCCTCTCCAAATTCTTGATAGCTGGTGTCAGTAAGACCCTCTAGAAGGAGGGGGTGGAAAATGTCCAAAGATTGGTTTTTGCTTTCCAGTTGACCAAAGCTCCGTTTCCCACTGTGAACCATAATTTCCATGGGTCTGTCTCTTTAAATCACATTTTATAAGTGTAATCCTTTTTTTACGTCCAATTGCTCTTCCTTTTCTTTCTTTGGAAATTCATTGATGAAATTTCTTGCACTAACAAAGTTGATTTTTATCCCAACCAACCTTTTCCTGCCCCTTGTCTGAGAATGAGAAATGTGAGGAATCTTTTCTTGATTGGTGTACACCACTTGTCACCCTCCGCGTTATAACCAAACCAGATAACGCCCCGAGAATCGTTTCTGGCGATCTGTGCTGGTCTGTCTTTGCCCGTTCCTTGCTGGACCTTCCAGATGTGCACAAACTGTTCTTAAGCCAGTGACATCCTTTCACAAGCCTTCCAAGTGCCGAGGCTCCTACCCCGACTCTCAGGTTTGGTTGAGAGTTACCGCCATAAAGGCCAGCACAAAGCTGCAGAATGTGGATCCAGTCCACGCCTAGAAAGCTGACAGCCAGGGCCCAGCAGGTGGCATGGTGGTTGGGGGCACTGGACTCCCACATGGCTGATAGCAGTTCGAGTCCTGGACCTGGCGGCTTGCTTTCCCACTTTCTCTCTCTCTCTTTCTCTCTGTCTCTCTCATGCTGTCCCTCTGCCCCTCTCTGGTAAAATTAAAATAAGATAAATAAAGCTAAAAGTTAAAAATAAAGTCAAATAATTATTAAAAAAGAAATAGAAAGCTGATAGCCAACGGGACTGTGGGGACTTGGGTGTTTTGAGTCACTATTTGGTAGATCACGTACAAAGAAATCCAAATCTACAGCGCAGGGCTCCTTGATCCCAGAGCGACCTTTTGGTGTGAAACTTGCATATCTTGTTGGCCGAGCTGCTTGTCAGGGTTGCGTGCAGCCACTGAGACAGCTCCACGGTCGGTGTCCATTTGGCTGCCCCGCCCTTGCCGTTACTTTGACAGGCCGTGAAGGGCAGCATGCTCCCTGAGCGTCCGGGTTTCTCACGGGGACAGCTGCAGGTACAGGAGATGGCCGTTTGCACTGGAAGCCCGCGATCCTGACAGATTCTGAGTCGGCGTCTCGATGTGCCTGCTCGGAAGTCACGTCCCGTGAGTTAGGGCATCAGTAGCAGGGCTGTCGAGGGGCAGACCCTCCTCCTGTGCTCACTGCCGCAGTGGTCCCTGTGCCAGCCTGGGTGACAGGAGAGCGTCGCCAGTTTTACAAGCACTGCCTCCTTCGCTGCGCACCGTGTGATCTGGAGGCCATCTGCTCAGATCCGATTCTTGTAGAGCTGAATTTTTAAAAGAACTTTGTTCTTATTTTACATTACCAAACAAATTCAAAAACTTCCCTCTGCAGGCTGTTTTTTAAAAATCCTATGTAAGTGGGGCCAGCAGGTGACATGGTGGTTAAGGGTGCTGGACTCCCACATGGCGAGCCGTGGTTCGAGTCCCGGACTTAGCGGCTTGCTTTGTCACTTTCCCTCTCTCTCTCTCTCTCGCTCTGTCCTTCACTGGTCAAATTAAAATAAATAA